GGATCAGCCAAGCTCAGCCTCTCCCTGCCACCGACCTCCACCTCTCCCTGCAAGGAGGCTACATCTCATCAGTGCCTGCAAGACACCCAACTGGACCATAAATAGACTTTAAAAAAAGTCTTTGCCTGGGCTGCTCAAATATTAACTTGACTAACAATAAGTTCTCTCAGATCCATAGGTCACATAGTTTTGACTGCCCACAAGCACACAGCAGAGCTGAAGCATGCCTGGGGCGGGGAGGCAGAGCAGAGCACTTCGAGGAGGCATCGCAGTTCTTCCTGCCCTTCCCTGGATGACACTAAGCCCAGAGCTACGCAATCATCCCCAAATCTCTCCAGAGTTTCTTCTCACACCTTCCTCGGCACCATCCAGTTCTTCAGGGGTGAAGAGAGAGCGCTTAACCCAGGCGTGCAAACAAGAGCACAGCAGCCCATCTGTCTAACCCCCGTTTTCTACCACCATGGCTCAGGTAGAGCTGCAGATGCTGGCATGCCCAATGGTGGCTTCTCCTTTGCTGCAGCTCACGTGGCAGGTTTTGCTCCAGCCAGGCTCCCTGGGCTGGCCCGGTGCATTGCAAGTCATTGGCACAAGGCCCACGGGAGGACAAGCAGCAGCTGGTGTGAGGACGAGCATGAATTATGGATGTGCCAGCCTCCCCTGAGAGCAGAGGGAACCTCCTACTGCAGAGATGATGGCTTTTGCTCCACAGACCTCAACAGAAACACAGCACCTGACAAGCTGACGCCATGGTCAAGTAAAGCACAGCACCCTGGTGACAAAGCCAAGAGGTCCGCCCTAGGTCACTTTGGCTGCTGGAAAGTTCTTGAGGCTGTGGAGACAAGTGACAAGAAAGAGGAGAAACCAGTGAGGGTATGTGGCGATGGCATGACTGTCTGCACATCCAGGACCTGGCTCAAGGAGTGCTAGTGATCAGCTCGTTCTCAGCACCTGGGATCCAAAGGTCCACTGGAAGTCAGGGACCTCCAAGGATGCTCTGGTGTGTGTTCTGCAGTGCTGAGAGTGGCCGTCCCTTTGCAGGAGCCTTTGAGGGGCTCTGCCTTCCTCTGGCGGGGGAAAACACACAGAAGGTCTTTTAGCCACTTTGACTGCCAAGTCTGCAACTGCCTCCACGGTGCAGGGGCGAGCCCTGCCCGACTCCTTCCCAAGCAGCTGCTCTCCCAGGTTGCCAGCAGCAAGACCTGCAGCTCTGACACTGCAGCCAAACCCTGACATGCCTGTGACAGGCAAGAGACACACCACCACCAAGGGAGAGGCCAGGGGCTGAGATCCAAACCCATTTATTGAAACAAAAAGGATAGAAAGTTCACATGAAACTGAAGCCGGACACGCAAGAGGAAGGATGATGCTTTGCCAGGTTTCTTAGAGTTGCTGCATTTCTGATCCTTTGAATAGCCTCTTTGTTCCATTCCACAGGATGCTACTTTGGGAAGGTAAGAGGTTTTTTCTTCTTCCACTGGAGTGGCATAAAAATAAATCTGTCAACAGTTATTATATACATACATATGGGTTGTATTTGTTTTCTGTGGGAAAATATTACTCTATTGGTACTTAAAATTAAGTATCATTATACTTATTTTCTTTATCTTACTGAAAGCTTTTCTTCTTTTTTTTTTTTTTTCAGTAAATCTGAAATCTTCTCCTTAGGTTAGACAGCTCCGCTATTTGCCTGCAGTCTTTTTTTAGGCACAGATGCAAGGTATGGCTTATACGCCAGCCTACTCCTGCTGTTTGAGAAGATCTCCGCCGCCTGTTCAGGTACTTCAGACCCCATCACCCAGGAAAAAACCTGCTTATCAGCCAACCTGGGCGCATCACAGAGCACAGCAAAACCCAAGGTGTTTGCTCTAATCTGGATCCTAACAAATGGAAACACCTGGGACACAGGAAAACCTGGGATGGGGGACCAGTGCAACATAAGAACACAAGTCAGGGTTCACTTTTGTTATAAAATGGGCAATATCTGTACAACATGGCCACAGCATGGATGCCTGGCTGGGATGGAAGGAAATTTAATACCAGAGGTGAAAACGTTTCCTGCCTCTTTTTTTTGGATGCACGAGTCTGGTATCTGTGTTGGATCACGCACGTAACTGCAAAGCTTTGGTGAAGCTGGAGGACACTAGTCACCATCAACCTGCCTGTCCTTCAGGGCAAGGGCTGCCTTGCACAGACAACTATCAAACTGTGGGAGCCAAGAGGCAGCCATGGAAGCAGCCTGGGTTTCCAAAAGCCTGGCAAACTGCACCAAAAAATGCGCTCACAGTTAACAGCAGAACTGCAAAGATTGGTGTGATGGAGAGCTTGCTCCCTGGCTGCATAGCCAAGTGTGGGATTCGGAACACGAACATCACACCTTCAACACAGCAGCCTGGCTGGCAACAGAGAACAATCCTTTTTTTTTTTTTTTTTCTTTCCAGAGCAATAGTTAGTCTCCAAATACCATTTAAAAGACAGCAACAACCATAAAAGGCTCAAACATTTCAAAGCTGACTCTCAGTAACATGTGTGCAGGCAGGATGGAGAAATCTGCCTTCCAACCCTGCTGCCCTTCCCAGGCCAAGGACACCTCCATGGGACCAGCACATGAAGCCTTGGCAGGGGCAGGATGGTGGGAAGTTGTTAAAAAATAATTAAAAATAAAAAAGAAAAGGAAAAAAAAAAGAAAAAAAAAAGAAAAAAAAAAAGCTGAGCCAAAGCAACCAACACCAAGAGCAATGGTAGGACATGTGAGGCAGGGGGGTTTGTCATCTGCAGCTTGAAGGCAGCTCCTTCCCCAGGGAATAGTCCTGCTTTGTCCATCCCAGTCTTTCTCTCCTAGAGACAGAAGTCACCACTGGAGACATGAGGGTGATCCGGCAGCGCTTCTGCCCGGGGCTGCGATGGACAGGGGGGAGCCAGGCTCTCCCCCATCACTGGGCAGTCTCCAGGGAGTCCCATGGGAGAGCTGGGCAAAACACAGCCACCTTCAGCCTAGGAGAGGAGAGAGAAAACAGAGCGCTGAGGCATTTTGCAGTGTTTTACTTGTACTGGTTGGGCTGATGCCCAGAGGCAGCTGGCAGGAGAGGGAGCAGGTCTGCTCCTGCCCTACCATCCCCAGGGGTACAGGGGCATAGCAGTGGCTCCCTACAGACTCCCACACTTCCCCCAGGTCCTCTCTTGCAAACACCAACCCAACGCTTCATTGACAAGAGGCCAAAAAGCACACAGAGGGCCAGTGCGTCCAACCATCTGAGCTGGCAATAATTTTCATCTGTTAAACTGCTAACTGATCTCTGCAGAGCCTGACCAGGTATCGCGGCTCTGTGGCTCACTCGTGAAGCCCATCTGTAAATCACAGGCACCTGGACTGCATCTAAAGCAGCACCTGGGTCTTGCACCCTTGCTGCACTCCTCATGGCCAGACAAAAACACACCAGCCACAGGAGAGGGCCACCAAGCTCCAGAGATGTGTTGGAGCTGTCCTTCACTTGACCCTACAGGCTCCCAAACTCTTAGGCAGGCCCAGAGTGAAGCTCTTCAACAGAGCTAGAAGGTGCCTGGGGTATTGAGTTGGAGGATATTGAAAACGGGAGGATCTGAGTTGCAGGGTGTGGTTTTGGAGAAAAACCAGAAAATGCTTTGACAGCACCATTGGATTTACCCAGAGGTTAACACAGAGATCCCTGTGAGTCAGCAAAGCACATCTGCAGTAGCAGGTATCTGGCACCAAGGAAAAGGAACAAGCTGCCCTAGGGCCAGTAATCATGAGGGCAGGGCAAGCTGGGAGATGGGAAGACCCATCCTAGGCATCTCACCCTGCCTGGTGGTGCCACAGGCTGGGGAAACGTCACAGCAGAGACAGGCTCCTCTAGGTTCTGGGACCAGCTCTCCATGCTACCAGCCCCAGCCCAGAAAGGTGGTGGTCCTTACAGACACCTGCATCAGGGAGAAGGGACAGGCAGCTTTCACTCCCTAGAATCTTTCCCAAGCAGCCCCACTTGAGGCTGTTGGCCCCAGTCCCAGGGGAGTCCCTTGGAGGACAACCCTGAAGGGCACCACAACACTCAGATCCAGTGCTGCACACCTCGCCTTGTGATGCTGGAGGGCTAGCAGCACACAGATGGACTCTCAATACTCCTTTTGCACAGTCCAGGGGACACTTCCACAAAGACAAGACCTTATGGCACAAACCACCTCGTAGTGCTTTGTACCACCCATCAAAGCTTACCAGTGCATAGCTGCAAATTGCCAGAAGTGACAACTGAAGAAAAAATAAGGAAATTAGACCCGGAGACGGCCATCTTCTAAACAGAACCACCCACACTCTGGCCTTCTGCTTTTCAACTCCTGAAAAGTTCCTAAAAATCTTCCTTTCTGGTCATGCACCAGCCAGAGCAAGGTGATTCCTGCCTACCGATCAGGCAGTGCATGCCTCCCTGTGCTAAGACCTGCAGGAAATACCTGAACAGAAAACACGGAGCAAAAGAGCAGAGAAAGGCCCTTACCCTGTGCCTGCTCTCCTGGCTCAGCGCAGAGGTGTACGTCCCATAGGAGGCAACTGGAGTCTCCATCGAGCTGCCGATGCTCCCGAAGTGCCCCGCACCCAAGGTTGGAAAAGGGTGTTGGGGCACGGAGGGAATAGGGCTCAGCTGCTTCTCAGAAACAGGATGGTATGAGGAGGAGGGGAAAAAAATAGAGTATGGAGCCATCTCTTCTTGGGACTCACTGCTGCCTGCTGTTTCCATGCTGCATAATCCGTTCAGGTTAAAGTGTGCCGATGGCACACCAGCTCCTGGACCCAAGCAGCTCTGGTGCTGAGAGATCAAGTCTTGGCTGACGCCATAAAAACCAGACTGAGCCGGGGACCCCAGGAGTGGGGAAACATAGTCCTGCCACGGGCTGGGGCTGCTGCTGGGAAGCAGGTGTGGGGCAGCATTGGGGCTGTGGCTGCACAACCCGTTCATCCAGTGATGGTGTTTCGGCTGACGGGGTGGTCCCACACAGCCCTGGCACTGGCTGGGCAGGGAGAAGGACCGGCGAGCATCCTCTTGGGTGGGACGCAGGGCTGAGAAGTCACCCTCCAGCTGCTGAGCCCTGGGTGGCTCCTGTGGGCAGGGGGCTCCCGAGGGCGAGTCGGGTGCTTTGTCCCACAGGGTGCCCCGTCCCGGCGGGAGGAAGCAGAGCAGCCCTTCCTCCCCAGCTGGCCTCCACTGGGAGCCATTGGCTGTCTCCTCCTGCCCAGCGGGCTCCAGCAGCAGTGGGGGCAGCTGCCCCGGCACAGCGTGGAGGGGCTGCTCCCACAGCATAGCAGGGGGCTGGCCCAGGGCACTGCTGGGCTGCACCACATGCTGGGGCAGGTACCGCGAGTCCTCATTCTCCGCATGGGCCTGGTACGTTGTGGTGCCTCCACGTGGGCTCGGGGACGTTCCTGGCAGGGGACAGATCTGCTGTCCTCCCTCATGCTTGTTCACCAGAGTGGCGTGGATGTAGGACAGAATCTCGTTGCTGGTGAAACAATCGTTCAGGGATGGGGTGTGGTCGGGGTCCATATTGACCATCACCATTTTCTCATCCAACAGCAGGAGATCCAGGTCCTCAGCATTCAGACCCAGGCCCTCCAGTGCACTGAAGAGCTCATTGTTGGAACAGTTCTCATCACTCTTAATCGAGAGTGAGTCCAGGGTGGCCAACAGAGGGTCCTCCTGCTGCAAATCCACCAGCTCCTCTTTGAGGCTGTCTCCCCTTGAAGGAACTGGAGCAGCGTCCATACTCCAGGCATCTCTTCCTGCATCCAGCAACGACACGTCCTCCAGATTGCCCACCAAACTGCTGCTGAAGGAGCGGCTAGGTGTGGGAGCTGGGTGGGAGGTGTACGCTGCCTTTTCCTGTTGCATCACGGCGCCCAGCAGAGAACTGGGGTCAACACCATTCTTCTGGGAGCACCCTCCATGGCTGTGGGAGGTCTTCTTGGACTTACCGGTTTTCCCTTTGCTCTGAAAAGGGTCAGGGAAGCCCGGGAGAGGGTAAGCACTTTGGTATAAGAGCGCCTCTCCTGTAGCAAAGGTGAAGGGAAGATGCACGGACCGTTTCCGAAGGTGCTCTCCTCCTTCTTCATCTCTGCAGGGCAGGAAGAGGTGACTGGGGCTTACACATGCACAAACACACTCCACAAAGTGCATCTGCAATGGATAATCATGATTCCCGCAAACCAAAGCCCCTTTGCCACAAGCAGCAGAACCACACACATATATATATTTATATACAAATACACGCACCTCTATGTATACACTCAAGTAAACCCACACATCTTTAGCTTAACCAAGAGGATACTTAAAACATAAGAGCTCTGTCACATCTTTGCCCTTCTTATCTATGCTGCACCCACTCCTTTGGATGGGGATGTCAGGCTGCTGCCCTATAG